ATCGCGACACAAAGATGGCTGAAAAATAAAGTTTTTATTTTTTATCTTGAAAACGAAAAGCAATAGACTAATGAAATTTTATGGAAGCATTACTGTTATGAAATCACACTTTCTGGTAATTTTCTCACTTTTCTAAAGTGAGTGGAAGGGGTTGAAATAAACTACCCCTATCATTCTTGTTAACGAAATTTAAAGAAAAATCTTATCAAACACATGCAAAAAAATTAATTTGAATAGTTCAGTTTGTTTAGAAACTTTTTTATCTCTTTTGTTTTTTTTGATAAACCTCACCGATTTGAAGTTAAAAAATAAAATGTAAAGCATTACATGTCAGGACAAAAAACATTTTTATATAAAGAATCTAAATGACATGTAATGCTTTACATTTTATTTTTTAATTTCAAATCAGTGAGTTTTATCAAAAAAACAGAAGAGTTTCTAAACAAACTAAACTATCCAAATTAATTTTTTTGCATGTGTTTGATAAGATTTTTTTTTAGATTTCGTTAACAAGAATGATTGGGGTAGTTTATTTCAACCCCTCCCAATCATTTTAAAAAAGTAAAAAAAATGCCAGAAAGTGTGTTTTCATAACAGTAATGCTTCCATAAAATTTTATTAGTCTATCTCTTCTCGTTTTCAAGATAAAAAATAAAAACATTTTTGGCTCCAATTCAATCAGCAATCGACACGAAAGAGAATTAAAAGATATTGATTCAACCAAACCAAACTGACAACTAAAGAGACAGATTTATTTATTTGTCAAATTACATAGAAACCAACGCCAACCCAGCACAATATTTTTTCTACTCCTAATAAATTCCTTGAAATAATAATTTCTGAATATTTTTAATAATATAACGTAACTCGCTATGGAAAGAAATATTGTTTTATACACGACGATAAAGTTGCATTATCGTCTCCCGAAATTAATTCACTGGCAATTTTATCGCTCGTGAATTAATCTGTTCGGTCGAGGGTAAAATACCATTTTATCGTCTTCTATAAAAAATAACTAAAAAATTACTAATTTTAGTTTCTTAATCAGCGTTTCCATACTATGAATTATTTTGTTGAGTAATATATTTGCGTCAAATGTTTGACTTAAAATAGGTAATAAAATAAACGAGATACGCATGCATTAACATACAAATGCATATGCAATTAGTAAGTTTTATCTGTAGATAGATTTGATAAAACGAAAGTAAAGATAATTGATTTGGTATTAATAATAATAATTGATACTTATTGATAAAATATTACGAAAACTGGTCATATTAACGTGGTTAAAAAAGCGCCAAATTTGCGTGGAAAGGTCGATGACATTTGCCATTTAATTTTATATATTAAATGACGGACGACGGCGATCTTCATTTCTAAGCCAACTCTGACGCAATTTATGTTCGATCGTACACCTAGTATATTTTTATTTTTTGTATTTTTCTGATTCTAACCCTTTATAAAAAATTATAAATTTAAAATATGATTTTATATATTTACATTTATACGTGACATCTATGAATTATCTTGGAAACTACTGTGTATTGATATATACTATCAATTGTCTCTTTTTAAATCAATAAATATGTTGTAATTTCAGTAGTATAATGCCCTCTACTTGTCGTGCACAAAACTTTACAAAAAAAATATATATTTGTCTCAGATATTATCATTTCAGGATTATAATACAGGGTCCGGCAATAGTGCGTCGGGCTACAGATGCTAGAATAAAATTGCTTGGAAACTTAGTTGGAGTGGGCTACAACCTAAAGTATGTATTAGGATGTATTTCAGGAAAATATTTATCTTCTACAGGATGGCTCAAGAAAGTGATTGGATCGGGATGACTTTTTTTGAATGGAACACCCTTTATGTTATTCCATTTTTGGCTTCCTTTTTGATAACTTTCCATAATCCTAAGATATGGGTAAATACAGGGTTGTCACCACATACGACACGGAGTATTGTGGCTAAACGATTAGATTTTTACAAATTGTAAGTTTTGGGTTCCTTGAAGGACTATTAGAGCTACAATTTAAAAATATTTTTACAAGATACAGAGTGTCCTAAATATGTAAAAATTACCCAAGTAGCATTTTCACGACTTGCGACCACATGTTTACTAAACACAACGTTGGATTAGTTACAAAAAATAGTTAGCTCCCTACCTTTGGTATTAAAATAAATTTAAACGTTTTTATAACGTTGTGCCGACGTTGGACTAGTACTACAGCAAAGTAGAAGCTTCTGCGACGTCGAATAAACGTTGTCTTGTAACCTTTTTTGCTTAAGTGATCTTTAGGTTATTCGGACAACGTAGTTACAACGTTGGACAATATAGAGTTTTCCGACGTCAGTTTCAGGACCTATTCCAACGTTATGCAAACGTCGTCTGGTTTACTAATTCCAACGTTGTTTAGATTTCCTTATTCTTACGTTGGTAGGACGTCGAGTCACTACCTTTTTGCAACTGTATTGAACCATAACCTTAAATCTTAAATTTTCACTTCATTGTTCTGTTCAGTCAGACAGTTCAGTGCTGTTTTGTTTTTATAAAAAAAAAACTTAATTAAAATGGGACATAAGAAAGGTAATATAAAACTAAATTTAAATATACATCGACATATATTACCGATAGTTTATCCACTCCCTCGTTTATTTAGATTATAGAGGGCGGCACAAGCTAGACTCTAGGATGACTAAATTAGGCAATTTTGCGACTAGTATACCACCTGTTAAGGCCGAACTGCGACTTTATTAGTCCAGTATGCGACTACTCGAACTACTCCATCTTAATCTCCAAAACAACAAAGCGAAAGCCGCCATGTTGTTAAATAAGAAAATGTTTCGCTCCTAAAATAGCAATTCCTGCTTTTTGAATACATTAACTTGAAATATTTGATCCTAAAAAACACGCGGAAACAATTTTTTCGACTGCGAATAAATTATTCTCATTTTACTAAAAAAAAATTCAAGAAAATTTTTAAAACTACTTTAATTTTAAGGACCATTAGTATTTTTCAAAGTAGAAACAATACATTTATCAATTAAGTTGTTTGCGTTTAACTTTTTTGCCTTGGGTAACGAGTTACAGAGTCGGTTAAAGCGTTTCAATAATTATGATCTTCAAACATCCTCCACACTTAAATACTTTTGTTTTGTTTTCCTTCACTGTCATCTGACATATGTCTCTAACTAAATCATAAAAATAATATTTTTACTATAATTATCCCAATTTAGGATAAAACGCGACTTAGACGCCATATTAGTTTTGTATTTCTGTAAATTAGGATTTTAAACAACGTTGCAGTTTGTACTAAATTAGGCTTCTAGCCAACGTCGGTATCCAACGTCGTTTCGACCCAAAAATTATTCTCCAAACTAGTGCAGACTAGGGTTGGCACGAGGTTGTGCCGACGTTGCGCCCCGACGTTTGGTCGCGTGACACAACGTTGTCCCGACGTCCAAATGCTGCTTGGGTATTATAGTTGTATTTTTTTAAATTTAATTTAATTTAATAATGTGTATTTTTTTAAATTTAAAAACTCCCTGTATAGATAGATTCTACGATAGATTCCCTGTATAGATAGATTCTACGATTAAAATAAAGGTAAATTTGATTAAGGTTTATCATACTTTGGTAATAAACCTTACCGTTTTTGAAATATTTTCAATTTTATGAAATTACAGTAAAAATTTTAAGGCTTCATTTCTCCAAGGGTATCAAAGTTTTTAAAACTGAATATTTACTGAAGATTATTTATTGAGCAGATATTGTGTTGCAATAATAAAAATTTGACTACCTTATACAGAGTGTCCAAAAATTTATATTAAATAATTACTAGCTTTAAACGGCAATAACTTGTTTAATTTAAATGGAACACCCTATATATTTTACGTGAATCAGATGCACAATTTAATTGTCTATCAAATTTTATTATACCATTTTTTTCACCAACATTTTGCCAACTAGACAAAACTAGACCATAGACAATAGTCAACATAGGGACTGTCATGTCATCTTCATTTATAAATTAGAAACCTGTACTTTAAAAAAAATGATTTTTTTTTTAATTGAGAGCTACCGAATTTTTTCTGTAATTGCATCCCTTTTAGTAACTGTAACCATAGAGTAAAGCCGTAACTATAGTAATATCACAGATTATAGGTATATTATATGTATATATACAGATAAAAATCTTGTCCCTAATTCGTGGTACGAAATTTGTTTTTATGGTAATGCGCAAACGAGTAGAATTTCCTGTGCGCAAAAATAAACTCGCGTTTAAACAGCGTAATAACTGGGCCGGTCAGGCGCTGTGCACAATTTCAGAGGCTATAAGTTGGCGTCCTATGTGCGCAAACTAGTAACCTAACTAGTGCGCGACTCCGAAAATTGGAACCACGAAAAACAATGCTTTTGACGATAAGTTTATAATCTGTATAATCTGTGGTAATATCAGAGATTAAGAAATTATACCGTGGGAAAATTTGCGGTGAACAGGCAGTTCTAAAAAGCTTTCAAAAAATATACAGTGAGATTTAAAAGAAAATGCACGATTTTCAACGTATTTTTTTGCGAAAAAAAAAACTCATAGACGTGTTTCTGGGGTCGAAATATACCACCCCTGAAAATATTTGCACTTATTTAAGACTCACCCTGTATATCTATGTATTTAATCAAGATAAAGACTTAAGTCGCAAAAACACAAATTATATCGATTGATATTTATGAACGAACCGCAAAAATAAATAAAAAAATACAATTTGCATTGTGAAGCCCTACCCTTCCCCCTTCCTTCCTTCTAATCTTAGATATTTGCATCTATATTTTATGCAATTATCTGAATCAGAGAAGCCCTATTTCATATAGGGACTCCAGTGACATCGCTGTCTATTTGACGATCCTTGGTACTTTCCGCCAACGCTAGGATCACGGTAGGCCGCCATCGATATCCAATATTGGAACTAGGAGGAAAAACAGCTGACGATCACCCGTGGGGTACACACATTCGCACGAAGCGAAGCGTTGGCTGGGTCGAGCGGTTTTCAGCTGTTTCGGCGATGTTGAGTCGGTCTTATTCTTACTAAGTTGGCTGTGTTTTTTAAAATATTCCTTTGTTTTTTTTTTGAGGCTATTCTTTTGAATTTTAGAGTACGCGAATTATAGTTTTCGTGGATTTAGTGTGCGTGACGTAAATAAGGTAAGGTTATTTTATCGATTAGTATAATTCTAGTACGAGTATTCTATTTAATTCAGAATTAATAGTCAAAAAATTGGTATAATCATTGTTGAATTAAATAGAAGTAGTTGGCGAGAACTTTAACAAAATTGGTAACAAAATTAGTAAAAAAATAGAATTTCGTCTTTCAAACATTAACTTGATATTGTATACAATACATAATAAACCAAAAATATCTAGTAAATTTTGTATTGTTGAGGAAATTAACAATTGGCATAATATCTGCATTGTAATACTGCATATTTCTATTTCAACCTAATAAAAACAAAGGCCTTTCTTATCGCAAACAATTTTTATTACAATACAATTGTAAAATAGAAGCTGATTATTGTAAAGAGAAAGAACTCTTTAAAAATGTAATTTTATTTAAATATTTTTTTATCAATATTATTGCTTATTATTTTAAGTGTCATATGAAATTAGTAACTGTACTTATATATTTTAATTAATTTTATTTTTTCTCTATTGGGTCTATAATTTATAATATGTACCTAATATTAAATCATATTCCAAATTTTCACAAGTAAACACAATGATTAAATATACCTAGCTTGTGATTAAAAAGTTTTGTGATTAAAGGCAGTTTGACAGTTCAAAATTTCTGATGCAATATTCTAAGAGAGTTTTAAATCTCTTAAAAAATAATTATTGTTTTAAATCGCAATGATCATTATCAACATTATAAGCAACAAAGTCATTGGTAACAAGAATATAATGTAAAAATACAGGGTGGCCCATTAGTGAGTAGAAGTCGAATATCGCCGTTGACGAAGATATTTGACATTGTTTGTTGACAAAGAAAAAAATTAACATAAAAATTGCTTAAAAATGGTTTAAAAAGGTGTCCGTAAGTGTTTTAAAAAATATCCTAAAAATATGTTGTAGAGAGTATATTTAAAAAAAAGAGTAATGATGAAGTTGTAAGTTTTATTAAACTGCACCCTCAATTTTTCTATGCAGAATTGAATTCAGGGATCCGTTCGAATTCACGAACAGCAGAATTTAAAAAAAAAACCTCAAAAGTCCGGGTTTTAATAGGTAATTTTGGCCAAAAAAATTTGCGGATTATCCAGTAAATTTGAAAATATTGAATTAAAATTATGGTGCTATTTGATGCCGCGGTAGAATTTTGACAAATGACACAAGCATATGATAACATTACGTTCGATCAACTGTCAACCAAAAAGTCAACCGCTGCTATCTGGGAATATTGTAAATACATATATTTTCTTAATTTATATATATTAATTTTTTTAATATATTTTTGACAGGTATCGGTAATTTAGATTCCAAATACCTCGAGAACCTTTTACTCTTAGCGATCTTTACCAAGAGACTTTTTTTCATAAAAAACGTCGTAAATGTATATTTTATTAATGAGTGGTTTTATACAGTTATGGACAAAAAGTTATTACTCTTCAAACTAGTTAAAAAAAACTACTAGACTAGTTATTAATTTTTAAAAGAGTTAAAACCATGTATGTGGCGCCCTCTACAAGTAGGAGTCATATTGAAATCAAAATCAAATTTCTCATGTCAAAAAACTACCAGACGCCAATTTTCATCCAAATATTGACGTGGCTTCAGAAATTATTTGGAAAAAACTGAAATAACAATGAAACTTCTACACCCTGTATCTCCGAAATGAAGCATTTTAGGGCATACATGTATATGAACTTTATTACTTATTTTTAATTGCAGAATATGCTGCCGAAGTTTCCCGAATACAGTTCGTACCACCCTGTATAATGACGTACATAAAAAATGTTGATAAGGCTTAGATTTATTTATTATAGTTGACAGGAGTGTCGATTTTTGACATTTTTCTTTACACTATGTGCAACTTTGTGCCATTTTTTTTTCAATTTATTTATTTATTTATAAGTATAAAAAATATGATTAGTAGAGTTTATGATTTTTCGCTCATATTATCTCAAACTCTGTAATTGGTTACTTTTTAATGAAAACTTATCTGTCGTGTACTTCTGTAATCTGTCGAAATCAATAAGTATAAAAATTGAAAAATTCTCCTATGGAACATAAAGTAATAGCTGACGCCAGTAGGTCTGAACAAAATAAAATGCTGAAAAAATTATACGTGTTCATAGCTATGAGTTAAAAACATGGAACAGCGTATAAATAATGAAGATTCCGTGACATTTAACGACCAAATACACAATAGACAATGACATTTACATAAATTACGTAGGTATGCAAATTAGATAAACCACTAGACCAACGCGAACTAGTTAGTTTAAATTTTTGCATAGCCTACCTAAGCTTTAGACTTGTGGTGGGTTCATACAGCCAAATAAAATAAAATAAGAATAAAATAAAATAAGAAATAAAGAATTCTTATTTGTGTGCGTTCATACAGTCAAATAAAATAAAATAAGAAATATATATTTGCTCATGCGCAGTACGATGAGGCTGGATAAAAGTTAACTTTTACGATTGTTTATAGTAATTTTACTATTTATAGTATATTTATTTATTAGTTGCCTACTATATTATACATTTTACTTATGTGAAATTATAAAATAAATTAAATCCAAACTGAAAATATTTGTAGGTTAGAATTAAGCGTGCGCAAAGCCGTTTTCACATAAAATAAAACAAGAAGTTAAAAGATAAAGACTTCTTATTTTATTTGTTATTTTATTTGGCTGTATGAACGCATGTACGGTATCCCATATAACCAACTTTCTTATTTTATTTTATTTTATTCTTATTTTATTTTATTTGGCTGTATAAACCCACCATTGGATAATATTTTATAATTTCAGCTTGCAGCATACAGGGTGACACAGTGTTCCGAAAAAGAACCATGCCTATCGGGTGTTCTGTTTGATATTTTTAGTCCAATGTTTTTTTTAATATTCTAGCAACAGATACACACTTAAAATATTTTCATTGATATATAGGGTGGTCCGAATTTCCAAATTGTAACTTCGGCAGTATAAAAAGTAAAAGTTAACGTCTCCTTTTTGCTGCCAGGGCTAATCTGGACGGGGCCTACTCTGTTTACGCGGAATCCGAACCGCGGTCCTCGGCTATGTCATGGTCAATGGCCTACTGACTTGGCAAGTGCCTAAATCGACTCTTACTCACGAGATATCCGATCTCATCCGGCCTCGAACCGGCGTGAATGAGCAGTGTGTGTCAATAGATTTTACACTTTTGCCTTTTTTTTGGGCAACAGCACGATACAGAGTTTCGAACCGGTCACCCATCCATCCACTAGTATCGCCTTACGTCGCTTAACTTCGGTGTTCTAATGGGAACCGGTGTTTCGACGTAGCTGGGCCGTTGCCCTTCGGCAGTATATTCTGCTGATAATAATAAGTAAAAAGGTCCGTCCTAAAATGCTTCGTTTAGGAGCTACAGGGTGGACAATTTTAATTTTTATTTAGATTTTTCCAAATAATTTCTGAACTAACATCGATATTTGGATGAAAATTGGGGTCTGGAAGTTTTTTTGACATGAGAAATTTTATTTCGATATCAATATGACGCTTACTTGTAGGGGGCGCCATTGGGGTGAGCCAAAAAACTAACCTCTGGAATTTATGGGTTAAAATGAACCTAATAATCGAAAAAAAAATATCCCCGGAAGGCAGGATTTTTAGCTCAGTTTTAAAAGGTATCGGTGACGATTCAAAGTTAAAAATAATAGCTCCCGTATATAGCGTTTGACGTCTTGGGAGCAGCAAGGTACAGCTTGCCATACTAGAGCCGTTCGGTATACAAGGAAGGTAATGTGGCTAGCACTACGCTTCAACCGCCTATTATTACCTCAGGATTGTGAATCCCAAGTACTCATTTAAGGCTGAGTCGACCTAGGTACCCAAACTATTTTTATTTTAATAAATATAGTCGGCTGCTGAAATGCCGGGTGTGGGATTCGAACCCACTACCTTGAGATTGGTAGACGAGAGCCTGTACCTGTACGCCACCGGGCACCTTTACCATTCAAAGTTTTAACTTTACCATTAAAAGTACCATAACTTTGAAACGGTTTGCGATAAAAAAATTTACATCGCAGATTCTAGTAGATCATAATTTTTTTAGAGTAAAAAATTTATCTGAGAGTTAAATGGCAGAGTCTACATGGTACTGTAAAAGTCCAAAATTCGGTGAATATCAATATACTCCCTGAATATGTTGAAAATCCCCGAGTATGTTGAAAATATTTTTTTTTATTGGATGAAAACAACAATAAAGTTATATATATTTGTACATATTGATTTATTACAATACGGAAAACGTTTTTCAATAAAAGCAAAGAAATTGTCCGCACATGCACGCTATCCAACCTTGATGCCAAGCCAACACAATGAAATAAACCGACAAAAAGCCAGTAATAACAAAAGCCTATATTCAGAAAACGTTACAATTCGTCTTCGATGCTTGCACAAATCACGTTACAAACGAAAAAAGATTAAAACCAAATAAATCAAACCCAGTCATACAACTAAGTTTTGATTGCTTTAGTTTCAACTTTTTTTTATTAATACGATTTTGCTTTGATGTAAGACGAATTGTATTTTTTTTGAAAACAAAGAATCACGAAAAAACGTTAAAACCAAAGCAGTCAAATTCATTAGTTCAACTAAGTTTTGATTGCTTTGGTTTGAATTCTAATTTTTTTAATACGATCTTGCCTTGATGTATGGTGCATGAGCATCCAAGACGAATTGTAAAGGTTTTTGAAAACAAAGAATCACGAAAAAGGTTGAAACCAAAGCAATCAAACTCATTTGTGCAACTAAGTTTTGATTGTTTTGGGTTCAATTTCTTTTCGTAATCCCTTTTTTAATACGATTTTATCTTGATGTAAGGTGCGTGAGAATGGAAAACGAATTGCTATGCTTTTTGAAAACAAAAAAAGTTGAAACCAAAAAAGTTAAACTCATACTAGTCTTGTTCTTTTTGTTAACATTTTAATACTTCTTTTTTGG